TTTTTTTTTTTTTTTTTTTACTATTTACCACAGTTTACGGCTTCCTCCCAAGTGACTCGTTCCTTTTCTACTTTCTCCTCTCGCGATAGAATTCATTTTCTTCCTCTTATATTTCTTGGGCCGAAGTGTCACACACCGTTCCATCTCTTATTTCTATTTCCTCTTTCCTCGACGATTTCAATTCAAATAATATTTCCCCATCGTTTTGGACCGCGCCCAATGTTTACGACGAGATTCTCCAACTTTTTTCCCATCCTCGGGCGAAGGAATCATAGTACGAGTTTCTCGAGTACGCTTCTCTTCCTCGCGGAATTGCGGTTACCGAGAAAAGATAGCGCGAGGATCAAGGGGTCAATCGGCTGACTCGCGACATCGCGCGATTCCATCTTTTCCTCTTTCGTTCCTCTCTCGGTTATCTCGGCGAATAAATTTTCAATTTTACAAATGAACGTGCGCGCGCGCGTTCAATCGGGAGAATTATGCACTTCTGCCTGCAATTTATCGCGAATATGGGGTATCGCGAGATTGTAGCGGATTTTTAACGCTAGGTGGTGTTCAGAACGAAATTATGAGGCGAGTTAGAACGTTATTCGTCATTTACGATTAATTATTGTTGGAACGCAAATTTCTAACCGTTGATTTATATCACGCAGGCCTTGGATTCTTGCCGCAACGATCTATTGAACTACGTAAATAATGATCATCGATTTGAAAATGCTTAAAATTTATAACACTGATTCGATAAATCTTACGTTTGATTATATGTGAATGAAAAATTTTATTCTGTATAAATAATATATATCAATTAGCTACTAGCTCGATCGCTCGTGAGTTTAAATTATATATTTCTTTAAGATGAATAGATTAGAAAATAATATATTAAAAATAATATGGAGAGATAATAATCCACGTATCATTGGCGATGATATATTCGGATAAAGATCAAATAGAGATAAAAAAAAATTCACAAAAATATAATTATTTAGTTTCTTAATTCAGTGAATGTATTTTTTTGTACATTACACTCGCAAATTATTACAACTTTTCGCATTTTATAGATAAATGCAATCACATCAATTCTTTTAAATCCAAAAAAATTTCAAAAATATTCTCTGTATTTTCCTGTCATCCATCCTATATCCTCTTAATCATCGTTCACGCGTTTAATCAATTCACGGTCGTTCATCCACGAAACGCAATCAACCACGTAACCACGCCCATCTGCATCCCATTCTTCTATTTTCCACGCGCGATTTTTATCCCGTCCTCGTTCAAAAAACGTTGTTATCTCTGATTTTTCACGCTCGTCCGTTCTTGCCTTATTTTTTAATCAACCGGTGTTCCCGGCCCCCAGATTTTAATTATTATTCCGGACCCCGCGAAAAACGGGAACGAAACTGGAGTAATTAGAGGCGAAACAGGCCCGATCCGTCAATTAAACACGATGGAGACGCCAAGTTTATTTAGATAGGGTACAGTGTCGTGTTGCCTTCGAAGAAAGTGGTGTCTGTGACAGAGGGAATATCGTGTTCCACGAGGAAACATCGTCGGAGATAACGATAGCGTGGGATCGTCGATGGAGGTTTCAGGAGGATTAATTTATTGGTTTGCGGAGAAAACGTGAAATCAAGGATTATGCCTTTAATATTTAATATAAGCTGTATATTTAGTATGTTGTATTGAATTGTAATTGATGATCGATGAATTGGGACTGTGGTTTGTATCTAGTTATTACAGAATTTATTTAATTTCCTATGTATAAAATTTAAGAAATTTATTAGGATATAATCAAAATATCTTCCTAGGATTATCAAGAAAGTAAAAACTGTTGGGATTTATCGATGATGAAAGAAATACGCTTGAAGAAAAGAGTTCAAATATTGGCTTACTTTTAATAGAGGCAAATTTCCTTTGAATCCTTGAATCCTTAACGTATTGCTTCAGATGCAATTTAAATAAACCAGTTTCTATGCGGGATCTCCTGATATTTGCATATTAATGGAGAACTCAAATAGAGATTAAAATATCAGTGATCCAAGGAAGTTAAGGAGATAAGATAAGAAGAAGCAAAGAAAAAATTGAAATCAGGAAATTCTAAATAATATTAACGAGTCTCAAATACAAATTACATTTACACAAGTTGAATAAAGAAAATTAAAAATTAAAATAACCATACAAAAAAAAACCTTATCATTTATCCTAGCAATGATAATAAAATCTATATCCCATATTCCTATAACATGTAAAAACTATTTAAAAGCACATACAAGTCACAAAAATAAAAAAAGAAGGATTATTATGATAATTATGATAATCTCTTTCTAACGATGGACAACTATCAAACTAACAAACTACTTATAACAATAATAATAAATTCTCCTATCTATTGTCATCATACAATAATAGAATA